TCTAAATAAAAGAAGAATACAAGCTATTATAAGAGCAAGTAACAAATTTTTTATAGCATTATTCAAATCTTTGGCAACCATTTTACCCGTGCTAGAACTGTGTTGTAATTTTTCAGATTGAAGGTTATATATATAAACTAAAACAATTAACTTTATAAGTGATATAAAATCTGTAGTTAACTCTATTGTATTAACTTGGTTCCTTGTTAAATCACCACGCTATGTACCCTTCCAATAATAATAAGCTATTTGACATAATAAAGTTCCAATTACTTCTTTACGAGTAAGTTGCTTTTTAGTGTATATGTAAAGTTGATAAGTTTGAATAATTCTAGGCAAGCACTCACATGCCACAATAATATAGAACAAATTTCTAGGCAAGACATGAGCAGTGAATGTCTAAAAAAATAGAAATAGTAATATACAGTATTAAAATATTTATTTATAATAGGTAACAAAATAAATAATAAGATCATAATACATACAGCATTAGAATACAATTCAAGAACAGATATAGTTGTCAGTAGAGTAAAAAATTGAAACACAGTTACCACTATGCATATTTTTCTGATTAAAGGAGAAGGATTTCTATATGGAAATTGTTTTCTTATAGCCTTTTCATATTCCTTACTTTCCTTCTCATTGAATGTGGGTGGTGATGATTCAATTGACTGTTGGTTAACATTAATATTTAAATGTGCAGGTTGTGGAACTTCAGGAAAACTGTCTTGTTGTTGTGAATGAGCCTTATAATCGCCATTGATATCCTGTTTATCAAAATCAATGGTGACCTGAGAAATATCTGTTACTAATTGTTCCTTCGTCAATTCTTTATTTTCCATTTCTCGTTTGGATTTTTTTTTAAAAAAAATAAAAAGTTAATGCATTATACTGATGCCGTATATTTATTTATATTTATAGTGGTTAGACAAAACAATTAACTAGTACTCTATAAAAAACTTTTGTCCAAAGTTTGCCGGCAATGTTCTAAAAATTTTCTAAAGTTAATTCTGTTTTTGTTCAAAAAAATGTTCGGAATGGAGTCACATACCGTATACTGTACTGATTTTGTACAATACTTGCCTAATGGGTAACACCAAGAAAAAACCAGACTTCGATTATATAAAATTTATGTGATTGAAGTCTGGTTTTTAACACAAAAAAATTTCTTTTTTTACATCACAGTATAAAAATGTACAATACGTATCATCCATTCCGAACATTTTTTTTAGAGTGCCTGCTATAACTGAACAAACTTTTTTTATATGGGTAAGCAATAAATCCTAAATCGTATGTATGTATGCACCTGTTAGTATCAGCCCAGTACGTACGTACGTAAATATATGTTGTACCCCGAATTGGAATCCGCCCGATTCGGAATCCGGCTATCCCGATTCAGAATCAGGACGGCCGGATTTAGAATTCTTATACAGGGTACCCGGCTTACTACAGTATACAAATATTC